AAATCAGGTATCATACATATTTCATGGTTGTCTACTACCATTGCTGATTTAATCAAACTTGGGCTCACTCTGTTGTCTATACTAGAACTACTGGTAATAACGTCAATTACACGCTGCAGACATCTCCGAAGTATTTTAAAAAATGTTAACAGAAACCATTAGGATACTATGGTTGTATTTCCTTTATAAAGAATGAAATATTTCACAGTTATTCTAATGTTTTCAGCAATAATTCTTCACTAGGAGGCAAAGTTCTGGAAGTTCACATACATTTTAAAAACGTACTCCTTAAATTACCAGCTCTATCCAGGTATGGTGATGATTCATCAAAGATTACAACTGATGAGACATTTGTAATTATCTCACAAATTTAGTTTTGACTGCATTACTAAGGATCAGGGAATATATCCTTCTTATGTCAAAAACATATACCACACATCAACCCTTGACACTGTTAAATATACCATTTGGAACTGCTAATTAAAACAAGCAGAACCGATGACAAGCATAAACATTTCAAAGCAATGCACATAAATGGCACAGCAGGTGTTCTGAAGAGGCTTCACATGAATGCCACTCTAGTAGCTAAGTCTAATAGGCAATTTCGAGTCTAGCTTTGAATACATAGCTACTCTAGATTAAATTAATGTTGTGCACTTCCAGAATAATGCCAAATGCTGGGAAATAAGTGTGCTAGCAGACAGTGCAGGAAGCACTTGACACAAATTCAGATGACTGTGCTTCTAATTTATTTGCATGGTACTTGAACAAGGAATAATCTTTGTCATATCCATGTATATGTGGTAAAATTGCCCATTTTTATGCCGCCATTGATGAATGACAGTCTAGAGTAGAACTACAACTCCTGGCTCTACACCTTACCATCAAGCCCCATGAGCTACACCTGGAAGAGTCGTAACATATTTTCATTGTTCCAGAGGATCCTGGAACCATCTTCACTTGCACCTCGGCAATGACCTGTGACGCCATAGTATGAGCCCCACTGGGGCTGTTGCTGTTGCTGTGGCTGCTGCTGTTGCTGTTGCTGTTGTTGCTGCTGGGGATTAGCAGCAGTGGGTATGGCTGCCGTGTGGCAACATGCACTACAAACACTGCCACAACTGTCCTTAGTGCTCGCTTGCTGCTGAAGCTGCTGCTGGGTGCTCCAGCCGGTACGTGACGCCGTGTCTCCAGGCGTCGCATTATGCAGGTACTGCGGCTGGACCACCCAGGAGTTGGTGGTGGGGAGAGGGACGGGCGCCTCCTGCGCGTGGCAAGTTCGGCTCCTCTTCACCGCTCCGGTGGATGTGGTGCGCGCCCAGGGCACGGAGCGCCGGACATGAACGTGATGAAGAGAGGTGGCCGCGTGTTCGGGGCCAGGCTCCACTGCTCTAACGGCACCCCCGCCGCGGTGCTTGCTTCCGCCACTAGGTACTGCCGCCAAGGCTGGCTGTTGGTAGTGCGCAGCAGTGGCTGCGGTCATGCCGGCCCACGGCTGTTGTAGGATCCGCTGGTATGACGGCTGTGACGTATGCGGGTGCAAGAAGCCGGGCCGGCATGTTGTACAGACGGGGGCCACAGCCGCCACCCCCACGGCTGGTTGCTTGTTATGTGGAGGAACTGCCGCGGCTGAATGATGACACTGTTGGCAACGACTCGGTGTCCCCTGGTGGCACACAGACCCGTGTTGGCGCTGCTGAATCACCACATCTTTGGTGCTGGTATTATTGTTCAGTTCGCCACCGCCGCCGCCACATGTCGCTGCCAGCAGTTCTAGAAAGACAGAAAACGATACTGAACTCGTGCACTGCCATGACAAACATGCAGAACCAAACAGAAGGTGAGCAGAAGAACAGTAATTTGAAATGTCACATATTACATTCACCTAAGACGAAGTTACCCAACATTTGTTAATTCATGGAAAATAATGTAAGTGCTTTGGAGATGAATATTAATATAACCCGAATCTGATCTGAATTTAAGTTCAGTTTCCATTACTGAATATTTCCAATGATCGTAATTTTGGTCAAAATAATGCTCTAACATGGGGACACAGACACAATTCTCGAGCTGTTGTAGTTGAGTGGCACCGATCCATCGTACCTTAGCGGAATACAGACCCCTACTGTAGCTGCTTCTTCACTGAGTCTTTCGAACTGATACTACTGTCATTTCCTCCGGGGAGTTCCCCTTTCTTTTTGCGTTATTTTACGAGACTGCCAGCATCTAGATCGTCGAAAGGTAGGACTAATGAAGAATGGAGAATTGGAAAGGATTTTGGAGGAAGAAGTCGCAGCCTAATCGTGAAAAAGTCACACATTGTATGCAAACAAGCAAGACTGTTCATCTTAGAGTTCTCAAAGACAACTCTGAAGTGAATTTAGCTTGTTTTGCATACATCACGTGTAGAACGAGCTCAGACCGCATGGAGACTGACTACGGGCTGGATGACCTGCATCCGGTTCCCACCAATGCAAGATTTCTCTTTCCAAAGCGTCCAGACTGGCTCCGGGGCCCATCGAGCCTATTATCCAATATATACCCGGGGCTCTTTCCCCCGGGGTAAAGCGCCAGAGGCTTGAAGCTGACCATCAACTGTATCTAGTGCCGAGGTCAGGAAAATGTGGATCTATACTTCTAGTCCTCTGTATGTCCTTATGGCTTGGTGCTTATCTAATTAAGCACAGGGACTTTACTTACATTACCTATTGTAACTGACAATATTAACGAAAAATATAGAATACAGAATCCACAATCTTACATTTACTTAAGCAATGGCATAATCAGAATCATTATGGAACCCGAGGGTACTTTACGCTGCTCACAAAAGCCCACAATTGTAACTAACCCAATCCACAATTCCAAGTCTTGTTTCTTTAAAATCCACTGTAATATTAAACTTCGATATAGTTGAAAAAGTTAGATAGTTCCGTTCAGTGTGACTGGTTATGATTTTCTTATTTAAATTATTCATGCCCTTAATGAATAATTGAAATAAGAAAATCTTAACCAGTCACACCGAACGGGAACTATTTAACTTTTTCATAATATTAGTGTGACGGAACAGAATGAAACAAATCAAATTCGATATAGTTCTCAAAGTTCACAAAGCGATGTAAATATACTTGTCTTATACCAGTTAACACAAATCGTGTTATTTACTATTATTTGTAAAGTATTTTACTTGAACCTGATCTAACAGCCTGAAACATTCCCTGGTGTTATAATAACATATAACTATTACCATGAGGAGTTCTGTCTTCTGGCATATAACTCCGTGTAATCCGTTGAAAGCCAACAGACGTTTCGGAGAAACATGTTACTTCCATTTTCGGGGGTCGAAGAATAAGCCAAGCAAGGTACATGCGTGAAGCAAGCAGCAAGCAAAGCTCTTCCCAAAGCGAGCTTTTCTTCTCAAGTTTGTGACTAAGAGTTTGTATGCACTCCTCACCTCGCTCTTGCGTGCTACATGCACTTCCCATCTCGCCCTCCTCGATTTGGTCATCCTAATATTATATGGCGAAGCATACGAAGCTCTTTGTTATGTAATTTTCTCCAGCCTTCTCTTACTTCTCTTTTAGACCCAAATATTCTCATCAGCACACCGTTCTCACACACCCTCAGTGTATGTTCCCTTAGGGGGAGACACCAAGTTTTACACCCACGTAAAACAGCAAATAAATTGACTTTCACCGGAATACAAAATTGTTCACAGGTACCGCTGTGAGAAACTTATATCTAGCAAAATACATTACAGTTTTGCATACTGTAAACACTACATGCCTACATTCTTCCAATTAGAAACAGGCGTAATTTCATTTTGGGTTGAAATATAACCGGGTTTGAGTGAGTGACATTTCATAACGTGTAGCCCCCGTCCCCTTCTTCTAAGCATTCACCATAATATCACACGTAAATTTCTCATATACATTTGAGAACACGAAATTCTATTAACTGCCTGCTTCATCTTTCAATGAGGAACTTCCTGATCAGCGGCAATAACAGGAGAGGGTCTGTAACGCAGGCTTGCTCATGAATTAATATTAATGCCGAATTGGAAGATAAGATTCAAATAATGTGTGCATATGTAAAAGGAAACGGTAAGCAATCGCTCGAAAGAAACGTTTATATTGCAGGAAGTCCATTCTCCTAATCAAGTACATATTTAAGAGTCAACATTTAACGAGGCCAAAAATCTACGTATACGATAACACAACTCAAAAAACGAATTGAAATGAACATACATAAAGGCCTTGCATACATTTTGCGCATTTAGGAGAGCTACGTGAGGTACGTACAGCTG